GCGGCTCGGGGATTGGTGGCGTTGCGGGCCCGTCTCTGACGGGCATGAAGTCGGTGCTCGGGGGTGGCGGGGCTTGAGGCGGTCTCCTATAATCCACTTCCCGCTGAACAGGCTGGTGGAAGGAGGGCTCTGTGTGAGGGTACACTGGGGGCATTGGGGGCTGATAAGGAGAGAAAGCATTCTTGAAATTTGCACTGGCTGGTGGCGGCGGCGTGTGCGCAAAAGCAGGCGACGGTGGCTCGGGGGGCTGATGTTGCTTAAAACTGGGCGGTTGCTCTGCATTGCCACGATGTGCCCCTCCTCCTGTACCGTGGACGTAGTGCCTCTCCGGTCTTCGGTTGTAGGCATCCTGGAATTTGGTTTCATGCCGTCTCGACTTGTAGCCTCCCGAAGATTCAGCACGGTTCGACTGGAACGCCGGAGTGCCCTGCCTGCTGGAATAGCTGGAGTCCTGAGAGAACGGGGTGCCCGATGGGCGCGGGGTGTGTGGGGTACCCTGGGACTGTGGCGTATCCTGCCTTAGGCTGGAGTAGGCCGTATCCAGGGACATGGGGGTGTTGGTGCCGCCTGGCGTGGCCGTGCCTCCGACTGCAGAAGAACTGCCTTCGGACAGTCTTCGCAAGGGCTGTGGACACAAAAGCACGACCAACTTAAACACATTTCAGAATTTCTCAATGCAACTTTTTCATAAACAAAATCACTGGTCCGGACTTTCTAATGGCATTAACAATTAACATTCTAATCAAATCCACTGTATAAATATCAGTTAATGGCATTCTCTGTTTTCATATGGCCCCACTGTGTGATAATGCTCATAACTGAAGTTAATAGTAAGTTCATAACTGAAGTAATAGTGTGCAGCTCTCTGCTGGTAGCAGTTATTATGTGCATTTCAGTCGGTGTCCATTTAACCACCTACTGAACTGATAAACTGGATTAGAGATAAAGAGGTTTCTGCTAGAGAGGGAGAGCATTTATACAGTGTACTGGTGTAAAATACCTTTTGTATTAAAATGATGTGTTAACTAATAGGTTAAAATTAAAACTGATTTACTTGTCATGTCAAGATTATAAAAAGCTCAAAACTCTAGCGTGTTATACAGTGTGCTGGGGTAAAATACTTTTTATACTAAAATAATGTGGTAAATAAAAGATTCAAACATTTTAACGCATTTAATTATTATGATTAAACATCTCAATACTCCACATTACAACATTATTAAATGTACATAAGAGAAATAAACTATGATTTTTAGAAATACATAATATGAGCATTTGTAGTTAAAATAAAAACTATTAAATAAATAAACTTTTGTTTTTGTTCTGAATCAATTAATTGTTTTTGAACCAGTCTGAACAAACCAATTGGATAAAATGATTCCAGCTGCCTAAAGCTACTTTGATATTGGCGTTCTTCATGCAGCTGTAAATAAAAAAATGTCTTTAACTTTTTGTTTTGTAGTACAATCTTAAGCGTTTCGATTCTTTCTATAATAAATGTCACATGTAATAGCATAATTTGGTTTGGTTTTGGTTTTTACCAGCAGGGCTTCAGCCAAGCTGCGTGGAGAAACTTCACAGGCCTCTTCACCACCAACTGGAAGAGTGAGCGGAGTATAACTTCCATTGATCAGACGCTGGAAGTACCTTTGGCGATGTTCACCTGAATAGATAGATGAGAATGCACAATTCTTTGGTGGACATGATTAGTGAAATACAATGTGGGCTATATCTAAAGGACATACACATTTTATCTATTAGTTGCATTACAATCTAAGAAAAAAAGAAAGAAAGAAACAGTATACAATTGCAATTTGCATGTATTATATAATCCAACAAATTTTACATTTCATTTTGTTACATTTTCCGTTTTCATTTTCAGTACATATTACGCTTTTGTTGTTGTCACAAAAACATAACAGAAAAAATCATTTCATTGTAAATCTAAATAGAAATGTGCTTTTGCCAAATACGATTTCATTTTGTTACATTTTCCGTTGCAGTACATATTGAGATTTTGTTGTTGTCACAAAAACATAACAGAAAAAATCATTTCAGTGTAAATCTTAATAGAAATGTGCTTTTGCCAAATACTATTGGCTAGTAATCTCACTTGAAAATAAAATTACTAAAACAAGTCAGTAAAATTTTACATGCTTTGTATGTTAAAAATGTTAAAACTTAAATATACATATACATATATATATATATATATATATATATATATATACACACCCATTTATATACATAGACAACATCTATATATACACATCAATTAAGAAAATGACAGTATAATGCATGAAATGCATGCACTTTATATTCACGTCACTGATGACAACAGATGAAACGGCACTGTCTCTTTAAGAGAGGGGAGACCCAATACAGCTGTCATCCTGCTTTCAGGATCTCACTTTTACAAGGTTAATGACATTCAGTGTGCTTGTCTTTCAGTAAACAGTCCAAACGAAGGGTTTAACATTACCAACATTATCATTTGTATAACAATTATGTTTTAGTCGTGGTTAACCACCTCCTATATTTTCTAAAACACACCATTTTCTTTTAAATACTTGTATACATATTTTACTGAGGTTAAACAATTGCTATGTAGCTTCAAACTAGAACTAAATATCTAATTAACAGTTAAAATGCTTTCGTTTCACGCAAAACGTCAAAGCAAACACATCGGTTAATCCCTCAACCGCTGACTTGCCGTTTAGTGGTTACCAAGCAACCAACGTAAATTTTCGCACGTGACTTCATGTCACAAACAATCTATTCAAATGTACAAACGCAAGCGGTATTTCGGTGTAATTCTGTCAGATAACATTCCTCCGATAATATTAAAGCCGTAGATGTCCAGTTTAATATTTTAACACTTACCTTTAGGGTCCAACTCCACGTGGATGATGTTGCCCATGACAGACGTGTTGTGCAAGTTCTGGACAGCATCCTTCGCCGCCTTGACGGTCCCGAATACAACTTTAGCAATTCCGAGATGTTTTTTGTTCTTCGGATTGTACAAAATGTCCACCTCCTCAATATCGCCGAACTTCTTGCACATGTCGAGGAGGAATCCCTCTCTGACGTTGTCGTTGAGCTTGGCGAACGTGACCTCCTTCGGGGGCACGCGACCGATGTAACACTCATCGATCTGAGGTAAAGAAAGCGATTCTTTGTAAACAGAACGTTTGTTTGAAGTCACTCAAAACGTTATCTTACGTCCTAGACTGTTTGAATGAAAGCACGTGTCTCTAGTATTATAGCTGAAAGCAGAACGTTAAATCACTTGTTTCTGAACTCAAAAGCAAGCAACACTTTAGATCTGTGAAGCGTTCCGTGGACGTCAAACGTCCTGCAGTTGGACGCTTAAAAAAACACTCAAGACAAATGCACACATGTGTCGGGTGGGGGTGTGACTGACTGACTGAACTACCTTAAATTTAGGAACCGGGAGATCAGTCTCCTTGTACTTAGTCCACATACGACCGATTCTCGGGTCTCGGACGATGTCCACTGGTGGCATGCCGGGGTTCTGCAAACAAAACAAACACATTTATAAACACTTTACGCAAGGAAGTGTACTTTACAAAGTCAGCGCAGTCAAACCGGGCATGTCACTGTCACCAGAACGACTGCGGTACAACCAAAGCTCGTCTCTCGCTAGTTTAGTTTTAAAACGAGTGGACAGTCGTGAATGTTTAGCAACGGTGAAACTCTTTGATGTGCTGTGTCAGGTGTTTACAACGCGACTGATATTATATTAAGCGCCACAATACACGGGTCGATGTATCCGTTGTAACGGCTCGTTTCGCTCACCGGCACGCTGAAGCTCTGTCCATCGTAGCGATACAGTTTGTGCGATCCCTTTTTCAACGCTGGGTCAATAATCAACTTGTAACTTCTCCAATGATGACTTCGTTTCTCTCCCGAACTGCAGATAGGATGGCTGTTCTCCATTCCGTTCGCCAAACCTAATGACGAGATGACAAAAACAGAAAGTACCCTTCATAATCCTGACATGGCAAAGGTTGATTTTTGCACACAAACAGTAAGTTACGGTGTAGAAAATGGGGGGTTTGAAGCGATGCCCGAAACAGACATCACAGAGGAAGAAAAAACAGAAAGCTTACTTGAACTCTGTCTTCTACCGTGATCTTCATTTAGCTTATTTCTTTCTCCAGGTCTGGACATTTTGTGCCCGATCGAGTAGTTTAATATAAAACGGCTAGATCTTGAACGTTTCGCCGATCACATTACATTATTTTAAAGATACTGCCTCCTTTTTGCGAGCCAACACATATTGTGTGCCTCTAGTCTGGGGTTTCTGTCTCTCCCACAATACACCACTATCTCAACCCTCCGGCACATTCGACACGTACTTTCGATTTATTGTTTTTAATGCTCAGGCTAAAGCGGTATTTTTGTGCGGCTGTCAAAAACACGTACAAATGGAGTTATCTGCGATAAACGAGTATGAAGTGGACATATCTTGCATTTCTAGCAGGAAAGCGAACGTTTTGAACGCGTTGAATCTGCGCGATAGATTTACGTGGACGTTAAATACAAGATGGACATGGAGGAGCAACGCTGGGGAAGGTTGTTAAAACTGAATTGGGACACGCGCTGAAAGCCCAAATGATTTGGTTTAGAAACGAACTGCGGTTTTGTTTTCATTTAAACATTTATTCCGGAATATATCTTAAGCCTTGCATTCAGAATGTGCCTGTAAAATTAACTTTCACGAGGGTTCACCCTATATAAACAAACAAAATAAAGTGGTGATTATTGTGTTTAAACATCTAATGTTAGTTTTTGTATTGTACTGATACTAGTTGTGATACATGTCTCAATCCATTCCCAACATTGTTTGATATTCTGCGGTGCTTGGGCAATTGGCTGGTTAACAGCAGTTCCATCTCTGGCCAATCAGATTAAAGCACCATGGTAGATTCAGCTATTAGAAGCACAGCCTTCAGTTCTTCCTACAGAGAGCAGAAAGAAGGCTGAATGCAGGCGCAGCCATTTTCTCCTACATTGGAACTCAATGGCCAAAATGGGTTTCCTTTGTTCCTAAAGGGATCTAAATCTTGATTTCATCAGCCTTTTATGGACTATTTAATACATACAGTGTTTCTGTTTACAGGATCTGAGAAGAAGGAAGATGAAATGTTGGATGATATCCCTTTGACATTTTTAAGCTTTTTTTCTCTTCCTGGAAACCATCTTTGTCCCAGCAAACTAGGTCATGGCACACCCATATAACAGCATTTTATTCTTTAGTAAAATGCTACTGAATAAACATTTTGCATTTGATTTATATTATTACTAACTAGACTGTAAAAAGAGAGAGCGAAAGAAAAAAAAACACATGAAAGTTACCAACTGCTTTTAAGGCCCTGCCTTGTACAGGGCCAAGCATTAATCAATAAGTAAGTTTATCTTTATTGTCTTTGCTTATTTATCTGCAGAATAAATGTTTTAATGCTAATTAAACAGGCATTTTATGTAAACTGGCTGAATTTTTATTTATTTTTAGTGCTCCCTAAGTGTCATCAGTTTTGAGCAAAGCTTTGTCTTCAGAACATTCAGTTGCATGCTGTTCTCTCTCTATCTCTCTCTTTTAATATATAAATTTAAATTGATTGCTTCTCACATTTCAGCAAACAATTCAGGCCATAGAGAAAAAGGACGATTGGCCTTTTGCAAAAATGCTGAATCACAGGTATGATTGATAGGGTTTGTGGTTGTTTTAATGCTCATCCTGGTTGCGCCTCACTTTTTTAAAAACCCTACAGCAGTACTGGTATCAAGACACATTTTTTTTTAAAAGTAAAATTATGTTTAAAGAAATATGTGGAATTCACTTTTCTTTCATGACGTTTATATTGGGACTAGTGTATTCCTGGTTTTACAATGTAGTGGAAATCCCTTTTTTCGATTGGTATTTTCAGTAAGTGAACACTCACTATATATCTGACCTTGCGCCAAGGGCACACTTTAATTTCATAACACTATTAGTCTCATAACAGCGTACAGCACACGCTAGAGATAATGAATAAATATGACTCTAAACATACAGAATTATCAAAACACTAACAGAGAGATTTACCTTAACATTTTGTTGAAATAATTCTATCAGGCCTAAACGATGAAGAAACAGGAACGTTTTCATTCCCATCTTCGGATCCTTTAACACTGGCTTTAAAGAGGGGGTTGGGTTGCAACGCCTAAAAGGAAGAAAACGTCAATAACCATTTTTCTGCCGTCGTTTTTCGACATAATTCACCATTTAACACACCTATCTACGCAGTCTCCAACGAGTGGAGCTGCTGGAAATCTTGAGGCACTTTTAGATTTTGCAATATGCAAACAATCCCTCTCTTTCTCTTCCTGAAGACAGAATGACAAGAGAAATTCACTCACTCGCTCTTCATCATTCAGAAGACAGAAAAAACATTTCCGAAGGTAATGGTTTATACGACCTTATTTTAGTAAAATGATTTGGGAATATTCTGTCTGTTTGTTTTAACAGGTAACATTAAAATCATATTTATCTTTCAAACTCATTTTAAAAATACAAGTATTGTTTTTCTTGTGGGGATTTATTATAATTGTAACAAAAAAAAAAACAGATAAAGGTGTACAATCATTATTATAGACGCCTCTCATTGCTGACCTCAGAAATAGCCTGTTGTTTAATGGCTTCTCTGCTGTTCTCGTTTTCAACATGGCGTCTTCACAAGGACATCATTGTGGAGAAGAAAGGCTGCCGCCCGCGCCATTTATGGGCGAGGCTGTCGGGCGCTCTTTCAACCGATTCTGCCTTTGTACGTGGCAATCATTGCAAACACAAACTGACAAGATGTGGTCAGAGGGGCTTGCCGTTTAAAAGCGAGGATATTGCACAAAACTCGCAGTGATAACTCGTGTGTAAAACGCGCCCTCGACGCTGCTGCTGCGCAAAGCGCTGGAAGCCCTGTAGCACAAAAACACAGCAGTAATCTGAGAGTTTGGACGCATGCCACGGGTCCGGGATATGACTGCACCCACCTAACCATTTAAGGTCGGAGAAAGACTCTGAAACACTGTGTGGCATTTCAATCAGCAAGTACAAAGGGAATATCCAGTCCTCTCTGTGCTCTCTCTCGTCCCCCTTTCAAGAACAGTCGGTGCAGTTTGTTCGCCAGCCATTCAGAGGAACATTTGACGTGATGCATGCAGGATTACGCACTACTTATGTTTCTCAGGTCTCTGCTGAATATATCACACTGTTGCAACACATACCGGTATGTGGTATGCAGATATTGCACAATTTATGGCTATGTAATTTTGTATATCTAGCTTATTCCACATCTCTATAAATGTGTAGAGAACGGACATATTTATAACCCAAGCATCTCATCATTGGAATTTGGTCATTGCCTTTTGTGTTTGTTTTTTCTTTCTGTTCGTTTGGGGCGACGCCAGCTCCAATCTATCAACCAGAATGATACTGCGCAAGGGAACGCACCATCTGTCTTTCGCTTTTTTTAAGATTCACGCTTATTGCATGCACACCAATACAATTTTGTCTTTATGCCATAGTCTAAAGTAGGACTGATGTCCGAATATTCCAGCAAAAAAGGACTGAAGACGTGACCACATCGTTTCCTGCCGCCCAAGGCTGAAGTGGGTCATGAGGCCATTTTATGGCACTCGTGTGTTTAATTAGGAAAATCCTCTTTATCTTCGTAACCTGCGCACGCAAGCTGTTTCTAACGGCAGGATAAGAAGGGCAGAAAAGAGATGCAGAGATCTCAGTGAACACCAGTTTTATCTTCCTTCGTTCTTGTTGTTGTTACCCGATATGCAGACGTGTGCGTAAAGCTTCATTTGTGCTCTGGACAGCTGGAGTGGATCCTCGACAAATTTCGCAATTAATCATATAAGCTATGCTAACTTTTGTTTAAATCTCGAAAGGACGTTCTTGAACAGTTCATTTTTGAGGCACTCTTTTATATGTAGCCTACTATTTTGTATATTTGATATTTGTAATGTCATATTTGTGGAGACTGGGAGATGTCTGAAATCTAAATTATAAGGGGTTTTTAATGCCAGCAATGTGTGTAAATTCCCTGTAATGTGCCTTTTTAATGTCAATCTAATTTCCACAAGAAATCTGAGGAAATACTCAACAGATCCTGACGACGGTTCGCAATTGCATTTCTCATCATGTACAATTTTTTTAGTAACATTTCACTTTTAACTTTTTTTTCCTTTTTTTAGAATTGAGAAAGATGATTGTAACATTTAATAATATGGTAAGTATATATACACAGAGATGTTGCACTCAATTAACTGCTTTTATGTTGCAATAAATATAACCGTTCTTAAATATAAATTTAGTTTTGTTTATTAACAGATGTTTCGTTTTTTTTTTATTTCTTCCTCATCTTCGCCTAATTAGCCGTTTATTCGAAACGAAGCTGACGTTCTGTTGTAACGTTCATTTACATTTTCATTACATTTCGCAGTGTGTGAACTGATTTATAACCGAACCAAACGGGCCCATATGGCTGAAAACAAGCACATTCGTTTATCGCTGCTGCTGTAGGCCGCTTTTGTCCTTCATTAATGGATATTAACGACCTTTTTATTTATGGACCGCAAAAATCCATATAAATGATTTTACGAGAACATAGTTGGCTTTTATAATTACTTTTTGCAATTTATCTCCCTTGCCATGTTTGGAATCAGTAAATGCTAACAGTTCTGTGACAGAGACAGTCATGACGCCTCCTATCTGTGAGAAATGAGAGGAGAAAAACAACCTTTTTCTAGCCTCTCATACAGGAACATACTACTGCTCTCATTGGCTGTGACGGTGTGGGGGATGCATTAACTGACACCTATTGGCCATTGGCAAAATAAATGAAGAAAGGTTTGCAATAGGCCACTCACAGGAGCACTGAGGTTTTGCTTTGAGCAACGGCCTTTAGCTGATGGTTTCGCATATAATTTTGCTTTGTATTAAAGACCATACATTTTCAAGAT